TTTTCTCTTTTTCTTTCCTTTCTCTCTCTCTCTTTTCTCTCTTTCCTTTCTCTCTTTCTTTCTCTCTCTTTTCTCTTTTTCTTTCCTTTCTCTCTTTCTCCCTTCCTTCTTTTCCCTTCTCCTTCTCCTTTCCTTCTGTGCTGTGGGTCCTCACAGATAATCTGCTCCCAACCCCACTTCCATGGCCAGGGAACGTCCCCCTGTATCAGGTTACTCAGGCTTTGGACACTTCCAGGGATGGGGCAGCACCCCACCACCCTCACAGGGAAGAATTTCTTCCTAATATCAAATCTAAACCTACTCTCTTTGAGTTTGGATCCATTCTCCAGGTGAACCAGTTATTTTTGAATCTGTTGAACCCAACCCAGGGCTTTTTCCATTGGAGACCCCTCCTAGTTTTTCCACAGCTCTGGGATGACACAATTTCCACCATGAGTCCACCCTTGGCTCATCTTTTCTTGTGTACCAGGTGTTGTGCACCATCACCTGGGGGTTTCCTTCCTGCTGGGGTAGCTGGGTCACAAATTTTCATTTAGAGAACTGTGGGGGTCCCACCTGTTCGTTTTTCTGGGTCTGGATTGAAGGCACTTGAGATCGTGTTTCATGTTCACACTCAGGTGTTTATTATTTCTTATCAGCAAAACAGTCTCACTACTGTGAGTTCTGCAGCTTTTCATTAGAAGGAACAAAATGGCCAACAATCTCTTGGTACAAGGTCTTTTAGGACTAAACTATCCAATGAAGAACTGACACCTGGATTATTTTCCCTTTTAACCCAATAACTGATCCCACAGAGCTGCAATGGGGACTTTTCTGCCCAATTATAAAATGCCACCCAAACCCATGGAGAAGAAGGAAGAAGAAACATGAAGAAGAAACCCAGGACAACACCCCGTGCCCTCCATCTTGCTTCCATCCACAACATATTAAAAACCCCAAAATCTCAATTTCCCACCTAAGTGATACACCTACACTGCTCTCTATAATCTATTTCACTCTTTTGTGGATTCCACTCTATCTTGAAGTCTGGGAAACTTTCTCCATGAATGAGGGTCATAGTCAGTGCTCCCCTGAGCACTGGGTTTCCACAGAAAACCACTCAAACCACTCTGTGATTCTGCAGTTGCCCTTAAAACCTCTCAGATTTAGTTTCCACTAAGCTCTTTCGTTCCCTCTGCCTCTAATGATGCACAGGAATGATATTTAGCTCAGCAAACAAATGAATAAAATCCTGCAGGAGGGTTCATATAGGAACTGCAGCCAGAGTGGGGCTTTTGCATTCCTCCCAGGGCACTGCTGAAAGCTGTAAATGTTTGCAGTCCCTGCAGGAGAGGTGTTTCTTGTCCTTGTCTGTGAGTTGTATATTATAATATCCTGTAAATTGCAGGTAAAGCCTAAGGGAGTAATTGCTGCAGGTTATTTTCAAATGTACTGGAGCTTGCAAATGAAAAAGCAATGTCCCACAAAACCTGTGTGTGTGAATAATTAAAGAGGTAACATGGGACAAATAAACTTAACCAATGAGAAGCATTGGACAGAAAGTAAAAAGAGTTATGAGGTGGCAAGAGGAAGTTAAGGACAACATTAGGCTAACATACTTTTTAAAATATGCAGTTACTTCTGCAGGAAGTGTTAACCTGCAAGCTGGCACATCAGAAGATGATGCCTCTGTTAATAAATGATTGAAACTGTTGAAGACTGCACTTCTAGCCCTTAAATAACAATAATCCAGCTCTAAACCCAAAACACTGTGTGGTAACCAAATGAAAAATTAATATATTTTTATTAAAGGAAGGAATATTAACTAGGAGTTGGGATAATTTAATTTTAAAATAAATTTATTGTGAGTAGTGGTGGGTCACAGATTCCATAGGGAAAAAATTTAAGCCCTTAGGAACTTTGTCACCACCTCAATACAGTGAAAAACCCACTTCACTGGCTACTATCAGTGTCTACAGGAAAAAATGAAATTTTGCCTGCTTTTACCCACAAGAAAAGTGTAGCAGTTTCTTTTTCATTACTGCCCAAACTACATGGAACTACACCCAGGCATTTGCTCCAAATCCTGGTTTGCTGGCCTGCCAAATCCCAGGGACCCAGTGGCTGAGGGGATTTTAAGTGCCTAAGGACAAGGAAACTCTAAAATGTTTTACTTCGTGTATCTTTTTTGTATCTGGAAAAAAACCAAGCTACACTTCTTTCTTTACTGATTAATCAAAGATGTGGGGTGCAGAACCCTTCTGAAGGATCATTTCTGATTTAATCCTGCAGATTCCTCTAAGATTTCAAACTCATTCTGTACTTTGAAATCTTAGAGGAAAAACTTACAAAATATTAATCTGCGCTCTCAATTCCTGTGAGGCTCTGAGACCCTTTGGTGATAAGGACAGGAAATCTACTGAGGAAACAAAATGATGCGGAATGGAGCAGTTGAAGGCATCTACAGGGTCTTACTCTTGTCTTATCACCACAAAACCCAGTCAGCAGAGGAGGTTTATGGTCTAACCCAGTTAAAACTGCACCAGCCAGTTCCTGCTTGCCCTTTGAACCGTGGCACCAACAGAGAGATTTTCTGCATCCACCTCACTTGACTAACAAATGAGCCGAAGTGTCATGCCAGCCCTTGTAAGAATTTAATTTGTGTTTTCTGCTTGCCCACAAATGGCCAGCAGTGGATTTCCCGTCCTGCCAGGACAAGTTCAAAGAATTTAATGATTTAAAAGGAAGGCAGAGTTAGCAAGGCAGGGGGAGAACGTTGGACTAAATCTTTGCTTGTAGAGCTCAGAATAACTAAGAAAATAGACCTCCTACATAAAATATGCAACTGGTGTCTAATTTTACCTAAGACTCGGGGGCAGACAAGAACATGCACATGGACAACAGGGGCAGCAGTGTGGAAAAGCAGTTATTTAATTCACCCATAATTCACCATGTGCCTATGCCATAATTTAACTCACGCATAATTCACTATGTGCCTGTGCCATAACTCAGCATCCTGTGTGCTGGTGACATGAAGGGGAACATGGAGAAATAGAGATGTAAATGTCTATTGTAATAAAATTACTGTTGATTTTTGTTTGATTTTTTCTGGTTTTTGTTTGTTTCTTTGAGTTTTTTACCCTCCCCCCTTTTTTAACACCTTTACTGTCTATGAAACCCAGGAGCATATACTTAAAACAAGATGAGAACTTTTAGATACTTGTTTTGTGGATATAAAGGATTAAATTCACCTTCCCCAAGATAAGCAAAAATGGATCATTTAACAAAGGGCAAAAAGCAAGCATTGATTACTTTTAGCTGATAAGCTGGAAAACCTGTAAATTTGTGAATCTGGGGTATTTCTGCCCTGCTGAACAACGAAGGTGGGGCTAATTTGTGTGTTTTTCTTCTGCTTTGTTAATCCAGAGAAACATATGGAGAATATATTTAATCGCACTTGATCCAGATAGAGGTGATGCATCAGCAGTCAAAAATAAATCAGCAGTTAAAAACCAGTATAAACCACAAGCCCAGAGAATGTTCAAGTTGTCCAGCAATAAAAAGAATCTCATTCAAGAAGAGTATAGAAAGATGAAAGTAATGTTAAATTTACAATTAAAAAGCACTCAAGGGAAAAGTAAATAGTATTCTTACTCATAGTACTTCAGAACAATTCTGGATGCATGAAAAGAATTTGAAGAAACATAATACCTTGTCTATTCATAGAAAGCAGTCTCATCTAGCTAACAGCTGTAAAAATCAATACTCTAATATTTGTGTAGGCACTGGCAGCAGAGATCCCTGTATTCTTTGTAATAACCTGTATTTCTTGGGGAGAGCTATTGAATTCCCTAGCCAAACAGATGATGAGTCAAGGTGTAGGCAAGTGGTACTTGTCAGCCTCTACAAGGAAAAAAAAACCCCAAAGAAACCACAAGCCATTTATTTTTAAAGAGTTTGTTTTGGTGGAGAAAGGGGAGAATAGTAAATGTTTACTGTTTAAGTGGCCATCAGAATTACACATTGTACTGGAAATTACACAGAGCACTTACATTGCCAACTTTCACATATTCGTGTACACTCCAATGTCATTATCAAAAAAAGCTGTATTCTTGCAACAAATTCTTGCTTTTGTGTTTCACACACAAACTTTGAAGCTGTTTTGTCTAAACAGGCCAGTTTTCATGGGCATAGAAGAGCAAGGGTGTGGTGGTGTTCACAGGGGTCCCAGGATGAGGGAAAAGAGGGGAACCTCGACTCCATGTTTCAGAAGGCTGATTTATTATTTCATTATATATATTATATTAAAAGAAAATAATATATTAAAACTATAGTAAAAGAATAGAAGAAAATATTTCATCAGAAGGCTAGAAAGGAAGGAAAGGAGTAATAATAAAATCTTGTGACTGACCAGAGAGTCCGTGGACTTTGATTTGCCATTAATTAAAAACAACCACTTGGGACCAATCACAGATGCACCTGTTGCATTCCACAGCAGAAGATAATCAATGTTTACATTTCATTTCTGAGGCCTCTAAGCTTCTCAGGAAAAAAAATCCTAGCAAAAGGATTTTTCTTAAAATATGTCTGTGACACAAAGGAAGTGTGAACAAACAGTTTTACAGTTTTGGATTCAATGAGCCTGAAGTCTGAGGGCACTCTGAAGATGATGGTAATTTCAAAAGCATAAAAGAAGTTTAAGCACAAGAAAAAGAATGAAAAGTTGTGAGTAGAGCTGTGTAACAATGGGATCATGGAATGGTTTGGAAGTGGATTTTAAAAATCATCCAGTTCTGATGTGGGCAGGGACAGTTTTCTCTAGAACAGGTTGCTCAGAGCCCCATCCAACACTTGAACACTTACAGGGATGCAGCATCCACAACTTCTGGGGGTCACTTGTGGCAGTAATGGAGAAGCTTCACTGAATATCAAGACAGAAATAACCAAAACCTGCCAGCTTTGAAGGAAAAATATTAAACAGTTGCTGCCACTCCATGTTACTTGACTAATGCCCTAAATTTACAAGATTCACAATAAATACATTGTGCTGCCTTTAAAAAGCTCAGGGATTAAAATAATGGACTTTGTAAAGAGGTGTTTAGGTGGGGGAAAGAGGGAGATGATAAATGAGCAGAAGACCCTAAGTTAAGGATCTTTGAGGTTGGATGTTCAAAAAAGAAAATGAAAGGAACTTTTAAGGGAATTCAGAC